CAGGCAACAGTAAGCCTCAAGCTCACTCGTTCCCGCCGCCGTCCCGTCTGCGGGAGCCGCGGGGGACCTTCTCCGTCGGCGACACCGCCGCTGGGAGGCGGCGCTCAGAAGCTCGGAGCTCAACGACCAGCTCTGGGCTGTCCGGCAGGCTGAAGATGCCGCCCGAGTTCAGGGACTCAGCGCCGCCATCTGAGGCCACCAAGACCAAGCCGCCGGCCAAGTTCTAATAAAGTTTCCTCTGTCTCTCTGGGAAATATTTTAGAACTGGCTATGAACCCACTACGTGGTCTTAAGGGACTGCTCGCAGTACCGTGTGTGTTTCTTATAATGGGTGACCACCTCTAAACCACGAATTATTCAAGTTATTCACATGGTGTGACATCCGATGACAATGTGTGCTCTTATTACTTAATATCGCTTGGATTTGACATTTATTCTGAAAACTATGTACGTGGGTAATCACGACCGTTTGTAAAGCGTGAATAAAAATGCTTAAAAAACGCTAACGTTATTTTTACTGCATTTCCAACCAAAGGAATTTATTTTGGCTGTATTTCTAAGCAATGCGTGGGTAAGGGGCAGAACAAAGGAGGTTTCACAAAAAAGCTTGATTGAAAATAATCGCCCATGAGCGAAGCCGTACCCCCCGTAATATGGTGGCTGCGGCAGCCACCTTACTAGGGGCATGATGAGCTGTTGCCGTTGGGCGATCGCATGAGAAAGAGCATTTTCCTCGCACGCCCAGGGAGTTTAACGTAGTGACCTTTTCTTGTAAGATAGTGCTGAAACTGCGTCGTTTTGTTACTAGATTTTTTTATAAGCTTCGAGGTCAACGCAAATTTTATTGTAGATGAAGTCACCGATACCCGTCTTTGTGAGTTGCTTAGTCAGAAACAAGTCTTTTAATTTATGGTTAAGGTAACCTTTACCTGACCCGCTTTAGTGGTCTTGTGGCTAAGGAACTCGGATGCTGATCCGTAGATCGCGGGATTGAGTCCCGGCTGCGGCGGTGCTTTTTCGATGGAGGCGGAAATGTTGTAGGCCCTTGTGCTCTGATTTGAACGCACGGTAAAGAACCCCAGGCGGTTAAAATTTCTGGAGCCCTCCACTACGACGTCTATCACAATCATGTGGTGGTTTTGGGACGTTAAACCCCACATATCATCATCAACCTTTGCAATAACAGTTCAACGCCACTTGATGTTTAATTGAGCCCCACTAAAAATAGCACTTTTCTTAGATCTTTGAAACGCAAAAGATGGCTTTACTATTGCTGGCAAAGCCTTGCGGGAGATTTCACTCCAGCAATTTTTTTAAACCTCCTTAGGTAGATCACCTGCTTTCCACGTCAACCTACTGGATCAACCAGCATTTGAACTCGGAAATATTTGTACTTTATTAGCATGTTTGGCAGTTTTTCTATCATAGACTAGATGACGATCTTTCACTCACAACCATTAGTGACCTTTAGGCAATCGTATTTCGCTTCCCGCTCTGCTGAGCCAGATGGTGGGCGTTCCACTGCGCATGCGTATATAGTCAGAGGCTGAGCGTCTGAGCGGATCGTCGTAGCAAGCCAAGAAACACGTGACACAATAAGAAACGACAAAATAGACAGCTTTCTGTGCCTCGAGTCCGCGCTGCTATTAAAACGCAGTAGTTGTTCAGCAAACACGCAAGTACCGATGGCACATGACACGTATCTCATGTTTATCTTGTTTGCACAAGTCACATATATACGACTTGTGGATGACGAAGGTATACCTTCGTCATCCATTCACGTCCCGCAATACCGAATTTGGTCTAAGTGAAGCTAGATAAACGGCCGTCAGTGCATCATGAGCGTGGCATGTAGTCATGTTGTTACGTGACACGCATCACATGATTATCATGTTTGCACCAGTAACATACCTGCGTCATCCATTCATGTAGAGTAATACCAAATTTGGTATATGTGACGCTAGCAAAATGGCCGCGGCCCGTGTGCTCAGATCTGGGTGCACGTTAAAGAACCCCAGGTGGTCCAAATTTCCGGAGTCCTTCACTACGGCGTCTCTCATAATCATATAGTGGTTTTGGGACGTTAAACCCCACAAATCAATCAATCAAAATGGCCGCGAGCGCATCATGAGCGTGGCATGCAGCCATGTTGTTACATGGTACGCATGTGATGTAACAACATGGGCTCTAACAGTGTCTTTTGGTAGAGCTCAATATAGTGTGCGGTGTGACCATACTTACTGCGCATGTGCGCCCCTCCCCCTCGTGCCTTTCTGACACCCGCCCCTGTCTTGCCTTGCAACGCCGACACAGGCAGCGTCTGCTAGCCTGAGCTCGCTTCGATTCTCTCTCCAACAGGCATTCCTCCCAGTGGCATTTACCCTTTTTTGCGCATGCGCGCCCTCTCTCTGTCTTTTCTTATGATCTGCCCTCACAAGTCTCGCAACACCAACGCAAGCAGCGTCTGCTAGCCTACGTTCGCCCCCTTTCTCTCCTCTAGGCAATTTACTCTCCGGCGTATACACCGCGATTGCGCATGCGCATTCCCTCTTCCTCCTCTCCCATGTTCTTTTTTTTTTGCTCTATAACGTTGACGCAGGCAGCGTCTGCTAGGAAGTTTGTTTAGAAAAAGAGGTTAAGAATTTCGAGTACTTGGTGCTCTACTAAGGGGGAGCATATAATTATCCCATTGGCCTCACACTTGATGAGGCCCTGTTGACAAAGTGTACTAACGACCCAAGACATATAAGTGACAGATTTCGGTGATGAAAAACATGGTGCTTGATTGCAAATGCGACTGTTCAATGGTCCCCTTGTATAAATAGGCCCTTAATTTTGCATCAAGGGTAGTTCTGGTGGGAAATTTCTCTTGTGCGTTTTTGAAGAATAAGAAATCGCAGCGTGCCCGTTACCTAAAACCAGACAGCGAGTTTTTGTGTCCAATCGGAGTCTCCTGTCTTTCACAGCCCATTAGCAGCGATTAACACCAGTCCATCAGTAGAAAACACCAGTCCATCAGTGAAGCGTTATCGCCCACTGCTTCACATCTGCACAAGATTACTCTTAGTGAGAGATGGTATAATTTTTAAAAATTAAAGTTTTTTTGGGTACTTTGACGCAAACATTTTGGTCTGTCTATCTCTTGGCCGACTTTTCTGTCACCTAAAACAGCTGAAGTCACACCACATCCACAGCGCCCACCGATATTACTAGTGTTTTTTCATTAACGCTAGCACCTATAGGTTACCTTCTTGAACACTTTTTTTTCCACATTATTATTACATTCACAGCCAATTACATCCCGTATATTTCTGTCAGCTATATTGTCTGTTAGTTCTCATTATTACTATGTTTAACAAAGAAAATGAGTTGATTTATTTCCACTCCATTCCTGCATGTTGTATGGACAGTTATGATTTCACTTTTGAATGGCTTTACCTTGTAAAAATATCAAAAGACCTTGTCACGCATACGCCGCTTTTTCATACTGCCCAGCGACTAGCCCATTGTCTCTGGAAGCACGCACTATACCGCAGACTTCAGGGGGCACCTCGCATACCCTTGTATGTCCTCTGACCACGTATATCACCTTGACAATAAAAAAAGACAATCACTTCGCTCACTCGAGCGTCTGTATTCACTTACACACAAGTTTCGTAGAGTTACGTAGGATCGCATGACACGAGTTTCTGCTAGCCCGGCTCTATAAGATTTCAGATAGTTGTTATCGCATTTATTTTAGGGGCGAAGCTCCTTATAACGGCACCCGTTCGTCTCCCGTAGTATGTAACAAGTATAACATTTTGACCACCAAGGTGCTGCCGGTAAGAGACTTGTTCTGTGCGATGTTGAACAATAAAAAATACTGCTCAATGTACATGTCATTGGCTGCTAATAGGGAATGAGAGACAGGAGCATTCGGCTTTTAGTTAACGCGCAGGCTGCGATCACCATTAGCAGCCATTGGCGTGTACATTGAGCACTATTTGACAAGAAAGGGTTGCTACGTTATAATCGCTGGGTGTAACCTCCTTAGCTTTAGAAAGGTTTAGCGAGCATTGAGCCGCAGTGCCATGAATACAATGAACTTGTATATACCATGGATGAACTCGAGGTGGATAAAAATGGAAAGTAGATACGAAGCGCAAGCCGTTAGAAAGTAAAAGCCGAATTCTTCGCCTCTCATTTCCCATTAGCAGCCATTGGCGTGTACATTGAGCACTATCTGACTGAAAAAGTTTGCTACGTCATACTCGACGGGCGTAACCTCCTTGGTTTTCGAAAGGTTTAGCGAGCGTTCGGCCGCAGTGCCATAAATACAGTGAACTAGTATATACCATGAACTCAAGGTGGTAAAGGTGGGAAGTGGACCCGAAGCGCAAGCCGTAAGAAAGTGTGCGTGTGCCACCTCTCGTTTAGTCTTTGGAATGTCCGCAGGATGGCGGTGCTTCTATATGAGGAATATATGATGAAAAGATTCGAGATGTGTTTACTTGGAGTGTTGAATAGATGGACGAACGGACACATAGACAGATGCATGGATGGACGCAAGAACGGACGCATGGATGGGCGCATAAACGGACGCCGGGGTGGCTGCATGGAGGAACGCAGGGACGAACGCACGAACAGACGCACGCACGACCAAGAACGAATGGACGGACGAATTATTCGCCCCACTCTCCATCATTCACTCCGTGGAAATGCTGCCATTTTTTTACGCTGCAAGAACGCAGCGATTGATATGACGAGGTGCTTAGTTTTTTTTTTTCGTGTGACTTCGTCACACGTCACACTAGCGCTTTTCGCCACGTGACCATGCCGCGGAAACATGTATATTGCCTTTATGAGATACGTTTTCTTTTTCATTTGAGGTACTGCGTTCTCAGAGAACAACAGCTTCAAAATTTTTATGTTCTATTCACACTTTTTTTTCATAATTGACCGCTGAAGACGGAAAGAAGGCAGTTATTTGTGCCACTGAAACGCTGATAATTTCTTACGTTGTATAGTAGACGGCAGCCACATAGTTGTAGTGCGTGATTTCTGCCCCCTTCGGCAAACCCGTGCTTCCAGTAGTGTAACACACGGCAAGCACCGTGTTCCGAGGATTCTCCACGGCTACCTCCACGAAGTCTTCTTTGTCCCAATTAAAGAATTCTCTGACTGATATAAACCCTTCGGCAGGCCCCATAGAGAATAGAACCTGGTGAAAAGGATATGCCAGCGGTTAAGTTTACGTAACGTTTGTACATTCCGTGCGCTTCAAAACTTCTTACTTGCCTTACGCACTAGACATGTGAAGGTGTGCATGACAACATTCCAAATATTTTGTTTTAGGCCTTGATGCCTCGTTTTGAAGTGAACATGCGCTATGTTCAGTGACCATGCTGATGTTTTATTTTTTGTCATCCTACATTTTTTATAAAATATTATATTTATACCATAATCACACCAGGTGCTCACTCATTCGTGTTAATTGATAGCTTATGTTAATCTATTGCGTCAAATGAAACCAGAATAGCGACAAGTGTTCATGATGGAATAGTACACGGCATCTACGTATCACCATGGACAGGCACGCATATATGCGCAGAGCTTCCGAACAGTATGCGTGCGCCTGTCAAACGTGACAACTGGACGGCGCACACTATACCATCGCACAAACTTGCCGCTCTTTGGGTTTTATACACTGGCAGTACTTATTGACGGCCCCACCACAGTGGTCTAGTGGCTATATACTCGGCTGCTGACCCACAGGTCGCGGGATCGAATCCGGAAATGTTGTAGGCCCGTTTGCTGAGATTTGGGTGCACGTTAAAGAACCCAAGGTGATCAAAATTTCCGGAGCCTTCCACTACGTTGTCTCTCATAATCATATGGTGGTTTTGGAACGTTAAACCCCACATATCATCAGTACTTATCGACGTTTTGCCAACTGTTGTGTCGAAGTCAAACAAGTTTTGAATTCAATACGGTCCCAAATGACGTTTCCATTTTTATTTCTTATCTATCTTTGAAGGGGGCCTTGCATAACTTCATCTGCATGGTAAGGAAGTGCTGCTGGTTGGTAGTTGAAGTTACCAAGAAAACACGAGCCAAATAGTATAGCGCAACACCCAGCCTTGAATTTACAACAAATTGTCAAAACGAGCTAAAACTTGCTCTCTCTTTTGTCGACAAATCACAATACAATACAAGCTCAAAAAATGGGCAGATACCACGTACAGTGGGAATTGATGATATGCGAAGCACTATTGAGAATTGTTGATATGTAACTTTTAAATCAGCACAACGTTACGAGGTGAAAGTAAACGATGCCGTACATGACTTCCGTGGGGCGATTATCAAGTCTGGATGTCTCCTGTCTTTCATAGCCCATTAGCAGCAATTGGGATGATCAAGTAGAAAACACCAGTCCGTCAGTGAAGCGTTATCGCCCACTGCTTCACATCTGCACAAGATTACTCTTAGTGGGAGATGGTATAGTTTTTAAAAATTAAAGTTTTTTTGGGTACTTTGACGCAAACATTTTGGTCTGTCTATCTCTTGGCCGACTTTTCTGTCACCCAAAAATGGCTGAAGTCACACCACATCCACAGCGCCCACCAATATTACTAGTGTTTCTTCATTAACGCTAGCACCTATAAGTTACCTTCTTGAACACTTTTCTTTTTTCCACATTATTATTACATTCACAGCCAATTACACCCCGTATATTTCTGTCAGCATTATTCTCTGTTAGTTCTCATTATTACTATGTCTAACAAAGAAAAGGAGCTGATTTATTCCACTTCATTTCTGCATGTTGTATGGACAGTTATGATTCATTTTTGTAAGGCTTTGGCTTGTAAAAATATCAAAAACTCTTGTCACGCATACGCCGCTTTTTCATACTGCCCAGCGACTAGCCCATTGTCCCTGGAAGCACGCACTATACTGCAGACTTCAGGGGGCACCGTATGTCCTCTGACCACGTATATCACCTTGACAATAAAGAAAGACAATCACTTCGCTCACTCGAGCGTCCGTATTCACTTACACACAAGTTTTGTAGAGTTGCGTAGAATCGCATGACACGAGTTTCTGCTAGCCCGGCTCTATAAGATTCCAGATAGTTGTTAAAGTATTCATTTTAGGGGCGAAGCTTCTTACAGCGGCACCTGTTCGTCCCCCGTAGTATGCAACAAGTATACCATTTTTACCTCCAAGGTGCTGCCGGTGAGAGACTTCTTCTGTGCGTTGTTGAACAATAAAAAATAGTGCTCAATGTACATGTCAATGACTGCTATTGGGGAATGAGAGACAGGAGCATTCGGGTTTTAGTTAACGCGCAGGCTGCGATCATCATTAGCCGCCATTGGCATGTACATTGAGCACTATTTGACAAGAAAGGGTTGCTACGTTATACTCGCTGGGTGTAACCTCCTTAGCTTTAGAAAGGTTTAGCGAGCGTTGAGCCGCAGTGCCATGAATACAATGAACTTGTATATACCATGAATGAACTCGAGGTGGTTAAAAATGGGAAGTAGATACGAAGCTCAAGCCGTAAGAAAGTAAAAGCCAAATTCTCCACCTCTCATTTCCCATTAGCAGCCATTGGCATGTACATTGAGCACTATCTGACTGAAAAAGTTTGCGACGTCATACTCGCTGGGCGTAACCTCCTTGGTTTTCGAAAGGTTTAGCGAGGGTTCGGCCGCAGTGCCATGAATACAGTGAACTAGTATATACCATGAGCTCAAGGTGGTTAAAGGTGGGAAGTGGACCCAAAGCGCAAGCCGTAAGAAAGTGTGCGTGTGCCACCTCTCGTTTAGTCTTTGGAATGTCCGCAGGATGGCGGTGCTTCTATATAGGGAATATATGATGAAAAGATGCGAGATGGTGGTACTTGGAGTGTTGAATAGATGGACGAACGGACACATAGACAGATGCATGGACGGACGCAGGGGCGGCTGCATGGACGAACGCAGGGACGGATGCACGAACAGACGCACGCACGGACGGGCTGATGGACGCATGGACGGTCACACTGACGGACGCATGTACGGACGGAAGCAAGAACGAATGGACGGACGAATTCTTCGCCCCACTCTCCATCAATCACTCCGTGGATATGCTGCCATTTTTTTACGCTGCAAGAACGCAGCGATTGATATGACGAGGTGCTTAGTTGTTTTTTTTCTCGTGTGACTTCGTATTTCACTAGCGCTTTTCGCCACGTGACCATGCCGCGGAGACATCTATATTGCCTTTATGAGAAACGCTTTTTTTTACATTTGAGCTACTGCTTTCTCAGAGAACAACAGCTTGAAAACTTTTCATGTTCTATTCACACTTTTTTTCCATAATTGACCGCTGAAGATGTAAAGAAAGCAGTTATTTGTGCCTCTGAAACACTGATAATTTCTTACGTTGTATAGTAGACGGCAGCCACATAGTTGAAGTGCGTAATTTCCGCCCCCTTCGGCAAACCCGTGCTTCCAGAAGTGTAACACACGGCAAGCACCGTGCTCCGAGGATTCTCCACGGCTACCTCCACGAAGTCTTCTTTGTCCAAATTAAAGAATTCTCTGACTGATCGGCAGGCCCCATAGAGAATAGAACCTGGTGAAAAGGATATGCCAATGGTCAAGTTTACGTAACGTAAGGCTGACACCAGGCGCGACCAGCGTCCGTCGGCGCGTCCCGATGGCAACCTGCGCGAAATTCGACATGTTGCATTTCGCGCTGATGCGTTACCTAGACAAAACTGTGTTTCCCTGTTTTCGTGACGGAGGGACGCCGGACGCGCTGAAACGCGCATGCGTTAAAGCAACGCAGCGCGGCACGTGCCTGCGAGTATATGGCAGGCCCGGCGGCTGGCGTGGCAAGGCTGGAGTGACGCAACAAAGTGAACACCGGCGAGCACACGCACCGCGTCAAGTCGATATGTATTGGCGCCTTGACTGTGGCATGTAGTCATGTTCTTACAAGACACGCATGTCATGATTTTCATGCGAGGTTCTATCGCTTGGGTTCGCCATGCAAACATGCCATACATACTAGTTTTGCAACACGCCATGTGAACAAAACAACCGCTAGAGCAGCAAGACTATGAAATGTAATTTATGAGTTTTATGACATACATGTCATGATTTCCATTCCTATAACCATGGACAGGCACGCATATATGCGCAGAGCTTCCGAACAGTATGCGTGCGCCTGTCAAACGTGACAACTGGACGGCGCACACTATACCATCGCACAAACTTGCCGCTCTTTGGGTTTTATACACTGGCAGTACTTATTGACGGCCCCACCACAGTGGTCTAGTGGCTAATATACTCGGCTGCTGACCACAGGTCGCGGGATCGAATCCCGGCTTTCTTTCCCCATGCCATCTGCCACTGCTTAGAATCTAGTTCTTTCGGCAGGAGTAGGGAAGACAGAATGCGATTGCAGGGTACGAGAAATCCATGTAACTCTGCTTGTACTGAACGGATTCTGAAAACTTTTACGACAGCGAATTTATGAGGCAATAGGCTCTTTCTGCGGCTTCGTCCCACGAAAATTCTTCGACACCCCGTTTGCTTGCGCCTTCTGCCAATATTGCAAGGATTGTTTGCCAGGAGCTGAAGGCCATGTCACCCGCTACTTATCAGCCCCCTGCGCAAGACATAGGCAACCGTTTCGCTTACGGAAGCCGTCATACGTCACGAGTTTGCGAACCTTGGCATCCAGGTTTCTCAGACCAGCAGACACACACCGCAGCCCATGAGCACTCCCGTCCACAACGCTGACCGCCACGCTGCTCCACTTATCGCTGTGGCCGCTTGGGCTCCTCGGTTTTCATCACACTACTGAAATCCACCGTGATGGTGCACGTAAGATGATCGACCAATATGCTTCTCTTGCTGTCGTGTTTGGGCAACTCCCGCCATTGATGAAACAGATGGTGTTCCCGGCTAAGCTTTACTAATAACCACTGGGAGGACCGTGGACAGTATTCGCCACCTGATCTTCTGGATGACCATTTTCAGGACTATTCACCTCCTCGCCGTTCATCTCAACGCTCAGAACAGTCTTACGCTGATGTCATCGATCAGAGAAACTGATCTAGCTGGTCACCATCACCTCAAGGTCCCTCATCACGCCTCCCTGAACGCTACCGCTCTCTCTCACCAGCTTATTAGGGTCACCCCCCCCCCCCCGGAAGCTGATAAGTGCAGCTCATGGAGGTAGCGCTCTCTTGAAGACACGGACCAGAAACCCTCAACCGGCTACAAGTTCAAGACGCACCTTACTTGTGGTCCTCCTAATGACCTCACCGTTACTGTTCTAATTGACAATGGTACAAAATTATACGTAATCAGTTCTACACTTTGATCTCGTTTAAAGAAAGTTCTCACGCCAGTTGCGTTCTCTAGTTTTCGAATGGCCAACGAAAGCTGAACATCGGTGCTTGGCATGTGCACTGCCCGCGTTACTGTTGCCAGACAATACACTTACATTCTCTTCACAGTCCTCGGTGTTTTCTCACGCGACGTAATTCTTGCAATTAATTTTTTAATCACCCACTTCACCTTCATCGACTGTTTCACCAGCATCTTACGGCTCGAGTTCGTTTTGTGCCCCGGTTTCACTCGTCCAAGTCGAATCTGAGTATGATTCGTAGAGTCTCTATGGCTACTGCCCCAGGCTGTCATGTGCGTTCCTATGTCACCTTTTCTGTTCGTTCCTTATGGAGACTATCTGGTGGCTCTTCCTACTGATTTGACCCTTATGCACCATATCGCAATATCACTTACTGTAGTGGTTGTCGCCAACAACACAACGCTACTTCCTGTTCAGAAATTCCCCACGTCAACCCAAGTTCTTTCTCAAAATATCATTTTAGCCAAACTTTCCATCATAGAAAAATGTACGATCTCTTCCTTCCCCCCTGACACTAACATCATGCCGAAACTTGCCAACCAACATGCAAATTAAGGCGTTCCTGGACAAAATGGTATTCGGCAAACTTTCACTTTTCCGAGCTGAAGCGTTCCGGGGAATTCTATTTTCTTACCTGGATATCTTCGGCATTGAAGACCATCTCATGGGCTGCACAAGCGCCCTAGCCAACCGCATCGGCACCGGCGATGCCAGTCCTTTCCACAAACGCCCTCACAACGTGCCTTATACGGAGCGCCAAGTTATACAAAGTCAGGTCGAGAAAATTTGCAGAAAAAACGTTATACAGTCTTCATCGAGTCTTTGGGCATCCTCTGTGGTCGTAATAAAAAAGAAATACAACAGCTGGCGCTTTTTCTGTCGACTATCACCACCTGAATCAGATCACCTAGAATGAGGTTAATCTTCTGCCTCGAATCGATGATGCGATTGACTTCCTCCATGGTGCCAAGTATATTTCGTCTCTTGAACTTCGATCCAGATCCTGTCAATTATTAGTCGATGACCGAGACCACGAGAACACAGCATTCAAAACACCTGATGGCCATTACCAATTCAAGGTGATGTCTTTTTGGGTTGTGCAGTGCAGCGGCTACTTATTAAAGTATGAGGGGCTCTCTCCAGCGTGGTTTGAAATGATCAACTTGCCTTAGCTATCTGGACAATGTAGTGGCTTTGTCACGAACCTTCGAAAGCAACCTGCCTCGTCCTTGGGCGATTCTTGAAATTTTCGTTTGCGCTGGCCTCAACTCAATTCGTCGAAGTGAGTGAATAGACGCGGGCGGAAAACCTGCTCGGCCACCTTGTTGACACCCGTGGTGTCCGACCCGACCCGGACAGAGACCATGCTGTCCGCAAATTTCCTGTTCAATATTCCACACAAGAAGTTCGCAATTTTATTGGGCTCTGCTCATACGTACACCGTCTTGTCAACAACTTCGCGCATATTGCTAGGCTCCTCACGGATCTCCTCGAAAAGAATGAGGCCTTTTTTGGTTAAGATCAAGAACATTCCTTCGCGTCGCTGGTTTTTCGCCATCACATCACCACTTGTGTGACTCATTTTAATCCAGCCGCTCGAACAGTGCTTTGCACGGGTTGAAGTGACCATGACATTGGTGCTTGCTCGCTCAACTACAGAATGGTCCCAATCGTGTGATAGCCTGCGCTAGTTGCCTTCTGTCACAAGCGGAAAAATTATGCCATCCCTGAGCAGTAATACTTAGCCTTTGTCTAGGTCATCGTAAAATTCCATCCGTACGTATACGGACGTCCATTCGCAGTCATCACAGGCCATCATGTGCTGGACATTATCATGGACATTAATAATCATAGCGCCACTACTTACGAGTTGCCTGACCACACTCAATGACCCTACAGGGAGACTCGGCCGTTGGGCACTCAGATTAGAGGAGTACACATTCTCGGTTGTGTAGAAAGCTGTCAAGATGAACAGATATGATGACTACTTATTCCCACACCTCTTTGATCCACCAAACTCCAGCGATTTGGAATCCGATCCCTAATGTCGTAGCTATCACTGACTTTCAGCACTTGGTGTATGAACAGCACCAAGATACATCGCTGCTCTCCATCATTGACCGCCTTCAATCGGGCCGTACTGACCATTCACTTAGCGAATTCCTGCTTCAAGACAACGTTTTATATCGCCGCACCTAAGACCATGACGGCGCGCAATTTTTACTCGTTGTAGCACATCGCCTGCGCAAGCCTCTTTTGCAACAATTTTGTGACGCTCCAACTTCTAGTCATTTAGGCGTCTCCAGAATCTACAACCATGTTCAATGATGGGTATTCTGGAAGGGTCTTTATCCCTCCGTTTGCCATTACGTTGCATCTTGCGACCTCTGCCGGTGCGAACAGAAGCCTATGAATCGCCCTGTTGGTCTCTTTCAGCCTATTGAACTTGCAGCCTAGCCATTTTATTGAGTGGATTAGATTTGCTAGGTTCTTTTTCTACCTCAGAGTGGAAATACATGAATTGAAGTGGCCACAGAGTCTGCCACTCGGTATACAATCACTTGAGTGCTATTAACCAGCTGCACGACTGGCGGTTCCAGCTTCTTGCTCTACGACATCATTCTGCAGCATGCACGCTCGGTCTCACCTGCTTTAAGACCACGGCCACTGCTTTCTATCTAGTTTACTTGATGATACACTTCGATCTTGTGTGACCCGATAACACTTCACCACATCTTACCACCCTCAGACTAAGGGCTTTACAGAGCGACTCAACCGCTCATTGACACACATGCTTTTCTCTGTACATATCAAGCAATCACACTGATTTTGACATAGCTCTGCCATTCGTCACCTCCGCCTACAACACGTCGCGTCACGAAACAGCCGCCTGAGCACTATTTTATCTACTCTTCTGCCTTTCCTTTACTGCCTTTAGACGCCCTGATTTCGTCTGCTCAACCATTCCTACACTTCGTACGCTGAGAGTGTTATCACCAGTGCCCTCATGACACGCTTAGTAGCCCGCACTCGGTTATTACTCGTCGCAGAGAGCAGAAAAGTCTCTTTATGACCGTCTACAAGGAAATGCCGTCTTGCTCTCCTGTGGCTACCCATTTTCACGTGGTAGCTTCTGCGAGGAAACTGTTATCGCGATAAGTCGGGCCCTACCGAGTTCTTTGTCAGGTCAC